AAGGGTTGTTTGGAATTGATAGGACCCAGTTAAAAAAAACACCGTGTTTTGTTTTACTATGTTTTTAACCTATCTAAAATATCTCATCATTTCAAAACAACCTCTGATTAACACTCCTCAGAGGGAGTGAAAAACAGAGGACATAAAGAAGAAAACAGACAAAATAATGGATCATAAAAACTTAAAAACTTACTGCCATTGAGCCCATTCCGCTTCATGGTCACCCTACAGAGCAGGGTAGAAAGAATTGCCCCTGTGGGTTTCTGAGGTGGTAAGTCCTTATGGGAGTAAAAAGTCTCATCTTTTTCCTTCAACTAGCTGGTGGTTTTGAACTGCTGACCTTGTGGTTAGCAGTCCAATGTGCAACCACTACACCACCAGAACTCAAGAGCTGTATAATAGTAAGAAACAAATAGAGATGGCTTCTGAGAGATGGCTCTTCTATGAAAAAAGCTTCTTTTAACTATTCCCCTTCTTGCAAAAATCAGGCAACACATTGACTCTCATGGCGAAGAATAATGAAAACACAATTTTACTCACTGAACAGTTACCAAAATAAGTCCTTAATAAAAAAAAATGCATTTGTGAATTCTGGTTTGTCTTGGCAGAGCCGACTTTTTAAAACACACATTGTGAAAGGGTCAGACCACATTCTTTTTCTGATATAACCCAATAAATGAGCTTTGGTAGTCTATTACATTTATGTCATCAATGCTGGAAGTTAAAATAGAAAACCAAAAATTATATAAACTAAAAATATTTTTTGAGGACCTAATGCCGGGGGCTTAAATGGAGAGGAAATGTTTTGAGAATGATGAGGGCAACGAATGTATAAATGTGCTTTACACAATTGATGTATGTATGGATTGTGATAAGAGTTGTATGAGCCCCTAATAAAACGATTTTTAAAAAAATTTTTAACTGCTCATAGTAACTACAAATAATACAAAGTATATGGATCATGTCAGATTGAAGGCTTTAGGAAGCATGAGTAAAACACATCAGAACTTTGAGAAAAGAGAACAATAATTTTGGAAGATTCCAGGAAGGAAGTAGCATTTGAACTGTCTTTTAAATATGACTACACTGTAGAAAAAGAAAAAAATTCTAATTGGAGAAGACAATGAACTGGGCATTTAGCCTTTGAAACAATGCCAAGAGACCAGAAACTAACAGGAACTCTTGCTTGCCCAGAGGCAAAACTTTTCTTGGGTCATTGGGAGCAGAAGTGACCATGCTGGGAAATGGAGTCAGATTCTGGAAAAGGAGTTTGACAACTGGAAGATGTTCCAGATGTCTGAGCTCAGGAGTATGGATGAGTAGAATGGATGATGAAAAAAAAAAAAAGAAAGAAAAAACAGAAGATAAGGAGGTCATTATAAATGAGTTGGATCGCAGACAATAAAAATATAAATTATGAATATAACACTGGAAATATACAAAAATTATTGTATAAAGTGTAGTGTTTGAAAGGGATAATTATAACTCATACAAATATAAAATGAATATTTTAAAGAATTTTAAAAATTCTTTAATGAATGGGGAAACTACTAAGATTTTACAATGGTTCAAATGAAAATTCAAAGAACCAAGCACGTATGAACTGTAAGTAATGCTGAAACTGATCTTAAATAATGGCAAAAAAAAAAAAAA